ATGCATACAACTTACTGGATACGTGTGCACATAATTTTGTATTTAATTTCCACCACTTTCTGAAACTCTCACCAGTCGAAAAGCTAGGCTATCAGGTTGAAGACATTCTGCATTCGATGCAAAACAGGGCCAATTAGAACGAGAGGGCACCATTTAGGTCCACAATATTTGTTCTGTTTCGCAAATGCCGAAAAAACAGTACGTTGTTAACTTCCTTGCTTCAACATTTTTATTCGTTCCAGGTTGAATGTATGATCGAACTGCTGCACAGTAGTAGATCACAGCCGACCGAGATGCGTAAAACCGTTTGATGTGCGTATTGTCGTGCCGAAACATGGTTACCTTTCAACCTCCCCAAAGTTGCGCGCACCTTATTCTCCAGCATTACAAACATTTCCCGCTGCATCAACTCTGTCAACGTCTATCTTTTTGTGGTCAGGATATCAACGTTAGCAATATTAATTTCATTTTCAATCTCAGTGTGACTATGGCCTTTCTTTTTGGCCACGTCGGTCACGGAAGTATTTTGATGCATTTATATTTGGTATCAACCAATCATCCGTACTAAAACTGCCCCCCCCCTGACACATAACAGACGGGGCAGACCATCATCCTCCCCCACCGAACACTTATGCTACACCCCAGCAGGTTGTGTTGAGAAGCAGTCTAACGTTCATACAAATAATCTTGTGGTTTAAGGAAGCTTAAAAATTTCTTTCTAGCTGGCCACGGTCAAAAAGTAACTGTCATCAGCGAAAAAAAACCCTGAACTGCTGCCTCGTGCTATTGGGAATCAAGAATTAGGGGGCCAGATGTGAACAACCGGTATCAGTTCAGAGAGGTTTGGAAACAATCGGTTGGTATAGTATTTTTGGTTTCCAAACCTCTCTGAACTCATGACTACTCGATCGGTTCCAAGTATCTTTCAAGAATTTGAAACCGGTATCAGTGATTCTTCGCCAAGCCTGTAAAATCACAAAGCGAAAATTGCAATGGGGGTACAACTGATCAGATTAATTTAAATGAAAATAATCGTGTGGCAGTCAGGTTTGTGAACCGACGGGCAAGCCAGGATATGACAATTAGGCTTTCCCTCCAGCGCATGTGCCTTCGGCGTCTTCCATTTTCGCTAGCCAAGGCACCTGCAGTGTCTGGAATAGTTTCTTTTGAGAACACAAGGACGGCTGCAGCAACCGCGCATCGCTTGGCTCGGCTGTTGAAAACATACGAAGGCGTAAACCGTAGATTGCCCGAAATGCACTTCTATCTGATGCCTATTGTCGACAAGGTGAAGAAAAATAGAACTATTCCTAGCTCCAGTGCCAACTTGACGTGACCAACGCGGGCGATGCTCACTGACGCGCTTTGACAGTTGCCGCGTCATAGGCGCACATGAATTGATAGGTCATTGAAGCGAGCAGCGTAGGCAGCGTGTCCTTGTTTTGCTTACGGTTCTGTGGAGAACGTATATTGGAAAAAGAGTCCAACTGCAGACGAGATTCTTCTACATAAGCGTTCTGTAACTTCATCCCCTTTGGAAAGAAATCTTGTGTTTACTTATTTTCCTGGACCTTTAACACCGGTACCTGTTAGGGTCTCTTCGAAATGTTCTTAGACAGGAATCTCTCAGAGTACTCACTCTCACTCCTCACATTCTGTATGATTGCACGTTCATCATTCAAGGTGTCTTCAGTGCAGATCTTACGTACTCTTGATGTAAGACGGCGAATCAAGTTTCCCTTATATTGCAGAAATACAAAGCAGTGGAAGTTCGTCTATTGTCCACTCCACGTATTTTTCCGATAGACATGACAACAGATGTAGCTGTCTGTTCTTCTGACTAGCAGCACAACAAGAAATGACAATCGATTGCTTGTTCCCTTCTCACAGACAAACTGTATGGCTGCGTGAGCCTGGTTAAAGTGGTCGAGAATTTTATTTCGTTTGGTGTGCTTATCAGCCACGACACAGCTAATCCATATGAAGATGGCAGTTTTCAAGATTGCTTATCTCCGGTTTTACCGTAGTGTACTTTACTTCCGCCATAAAGAAATCTCAGCCAATAGTGGACCGAGTGGAGATTCCATAGCAACGCCGCACTTCTACCGGTGGTACATACCATTGTATATATATATATATATATATATATATATATATATATATATATATATATATATATATATATAATGGTTGGCAGCATCTGGTTTCGGATTTGTCTGTCAATGTGGCCAGCCACAGGACGCCTGCGCCTACAGAGGGACCATGGATGGCTTGCGCTGCACCACCCACACCCCCCATATCCAGTGTAAACCCAAAGGAATAAGACCGGGAGGCATATGAATGGGAGCCACGTTTCATCAGCGGAACGTGCCCACACTCCTTCACAGACAAACACAAGCACGCTGTATTTGGGGAATCAAGCGCACACAAGACGGTGGCTGGACAGTAGTCCGTTCCACACTGAGTGCATGGAACCGCTCTTCGAGTCTAGCATGGACATAAGGACCGTGCATCCCGTCCCCTCCAGCGACCATCAACTGTCTCCTGGAGTCAGTATGGATGAGGTAGTGCGTAATAGACAGGTAGGCACCTTGTCAACATACACATCAAGCATAGCCACAACGGTTGCTGTGTTCCTGGATATCCCTGTTGGCTTCGATTCTGTCGACACGAATGCGTTGTGGCACTGTCTGTTGAGGGGTGACGTTCGTTTCCGTACTGCGTACTATGTACAATCTGACCTCATGTAGAGTTAGGACTTATGACAAGTTTTCGGTGGTCATGGGGTCGAATCCTGATGGATCCGATGGATGCGCACTACTGATAATGCTCAACAGATTGAAACTGCAGTCTAGTGCTTTTCCGGGTATGTGAACGACTATCTGATTTGGAAGCTGGCTGTGACGAACCTCAATTATCTATATCAAAATGCCCTACTCATGAGTACATCAAATATATCCCCCCTAACACTTTCTAAATGCCATGTCGTACATAGCCACTGTTAGTGGAAGCCTCTGGTGGTCTTGTGTTCGAATCTTGATAGATCGGTAGGCTACGCACTACTGATGATGTCCAACAACCTGAACCTCTAGTCTAATGTTTTTCCGGGCATGTGAACGACTATCTGATTTGGAAGATGACTGTGACGAATCTCAATTATCTATATCAAAATCCCCTGCTCATAAGTACGTACATTTATTTGTTTAAATAATTCGTTAGATGAATGCCGAGTTTGCTGTAGTTCCAAGTAGACAGTGACTCATAGGAGGAACAGCCGTTAGGAAATTATCTGACGTATAATGCCCCGATGTTCACTCAGTGACGTTCTTCCCACACACATGCTGTCATACCTTGTTCACTTTTTTCTGAGGTCTGTTATTTCTCGCTCTCACCAAAGCACCTGCTCAACAACTTTCGAGTGTCTCCTGGTTAATAGAATCATCAAATGTTGAGCGCCTGTGCATCGACTATGGGAATAAATGCCCCGATGAAGCATTCCCGCAGATATCACCTCACATACTTAAAGCTGAATTTAGGGAACACGCTGTCTGGATGAGTTGCGAATCGCAGCCACTATAGGGACCTCGGATCACTTTGAGGTAAAAGTCAATCATTCCGACCTCGAGGACCGTATCCGCAGTTGTACTATTTCGGTGTTGCTCTTCCCCACGCTGACACACCGCGACCGCGTTTTCGTCTCGCTTTGGACTCGGCAGGTAAGGATAGCCTGTGCTTTCCGCTGTGCTAAGCGTTGCTTGCGGATCTCAATAGCATAGTGTTAATGGCGTCAGCCGTGAAATACTAGGCCCTGAGTTCCACCCCAGCCCAGGCTATCTGCACCTGAGGAGTCCAAACCAGGACGAAACCTCGGTCGTGGTGTGCGAGTGTTGGGAGGAGCAACACCCAAATATTTCAATTCCAGATACGGGCCTCGAGATCGCAATGACCAAGGTTTACCTCAAAGTGAGCCGAGCTCCCTATATAGGTTGCGAGTCGCAACCCAACCACACAGCGTGTTCCCTAAATTCAGCTTTGAATTGCGTTCCGCTGTGCAACACCCGAATAATTAACCTCACATCCACATTGTGCTTACCTGTTCACGACACACTCCTGTTCACCAGATATGAGACACCTCAAGCTTAAATGCCTTCCCGCCTAGTTCACTTTCCGCCCTATGCTTGACTTCTCTTTTGTGCTCTCTTATCGCTAGTTTCTAGGCTCACTTTATGATGAAGCAACAACAAAACAAAATTACCTAGCTCTTACTCAAAGTCTATGAAACCCGTGCATCAGTCACTCAGCCCATCTATTCTACGGACTTTTCCTACGCTCGTTGCTCGAACGTTATTTGATAGTGTAAAGAGATGCACAGAGCTAATGGATCTCGGTAGGACGAACCGACCGTCTGCTGTATTTTCGGACGTTTGGACAACTGACTTGGTAGCTACTGTGTGATGAGCTCATTGATAAGTGTATTCCACAGTCGATCCCCCATGCATGCATCAAAACATTTGTCGTAGCATCCATAAAATACTGTGTCGTACATAGCTGCTGTTACTGGAAGCTGTGGCTCTCGGTGTTGGCGCTGTGCTCTGTAACCTCCGTAACTAGCATGACAGGGGAGGGTGGATTGCGCTATATCGCATTGATTCCTATCGCAAGCCGCTAGCTGATCTCGGTTCTTCATGTGGCCGAGCGATACGCACCACAGGAATGTCCCAATGGGCCGAGACAATCCTCTGATGCTTCTTCCAGCGTGTGGAAGGCTCTACCTTGAAGGCTGATGCGATGAAGCCTCAATAAGAGTTACACTGTACCAAATCGATTGGGATCTTAACCACATGCTCCTGGCGTCAGCTCTTCACATAGTAGTAAAATACCAGATCCACATATCTTATAGCTCCGATTTACGTTCCGCTTCCCACGCTTCTCATTCACTCTTCTCCAATTTCCGTTAACCACTAATATCTTCATTTGCATTCCTCTCAGGTACCGTCGAGATGTATCTCCATTTCCATGTATACAACTACTCCGATTATTACTCCTACCTACCACCAGATAAGCTCAGCGCGCTTCTCTACGCCAGTGGTTCTGTCACCCCAGACGATCCTTCCAATGTGCACAAGCACCTCTCCCTCGAGGAGTTCACCTCTTTACCGGCGAATGTGCAAGATTTGCTGAAAGATGTGGACGTCATACCGCACGCACGCGGTGGTCACATTATTTCTAGAGAGACTGAAATTGAGCGGCCCAAAGTACCAAGTCGATACCATATGGAGGAGGATCACAAGAAACGTGTGGCCAGGATCCGCAAATCGCGTACACTCATCTTAGAGTGACTACTATGAGACAGGCTTATGCTTTGTGCAAACATACACGTGATCCAACTCACAGTCCTCGTTATGCTTCTGTCGCTTCTAGCTTGTGTGTGTGCGCGCATTACTTCAGGTAACACGATTTTCATTCCACATGTTTCTACACAATCGGCTTTTTCGACTATTTGCACCCGTCCATAGAAGTCACAGTACGATTCCAGTGCGTCCCTCATTCAATTGTTCATTTGTTCTCCGAGCTTGGCACTTTTATTGCAAACGTTTCACCACCATGCGAGGTGACCTGCTCACTGCAGTGATATGTGGCGTGCAATCTTATTAAATGCATCGTCTATCCGTGATCAACCTGCAGGAGACTTTTGCAAGTGGCAGTTGCTCCGCCTTAAACCGCGTGTCGAAGTGGTTGGTATATTGAATCGATGTATACGCGCGTGTTGATTGATTTTTCCGTTGAGAATCAAGCTTCCAGGAATTCCCTTTGTTTTCTTGTTTCATCCTGTGCCAGGACCTCTGTTTTTCTCCAATCGAAGCTACCCTTCATCATCTACCTGCAATGGAATTAGACTCGATGCATAATGCTTCACACAGTCTTTTTTATATTCTTGTATCCTTGTTGCCAGTTTTCTTCCCGTCTAGCCAACATAATCTGTTTCGCAATCTGGGCAACGTACTTTGCATACGACATTGCGTCGTTCATGCGCCTACGGTTTATCTTTAGGTTTTGAAATTTTTGCTGAACGCGGCAATTGTTTTGTTCGCTACGATAAGATGATGCTGTTTGAATAGTCTGGCTGCCATTTCCGATATGCTCCTCATCCTTTATCGAATGACCACCATCAGTTCTAGTAACCAGTTTTTTGTTCTAAATACCCTTCAGCTTCACTCCAAATTGATTGGAGACAGTGGGGTGGCCATCGTATACTTTTCCAGGTAATTGAAACGGCATCAGCACAACTCTTAATGCCCATTCTCTAACGGACTCTGCTCCAAAAGTTTTCGTTCACCGCACATTCTTCTGTGTATTGCTTTACTCATGACTCGTACATTCCACCGCAGTAAAGCGCATTCTCCATTTCGCTGTGCGATTTTGCGACCAACTGGTCATGTGCTTCAAAATTAGTGCTGGTATTTGCGAACATCCTGTTCATTGGATTGGAAGTGAGCCGAACCAGTCTGTAATCTAAACAAGTCATACGTCTTCAGAGATCAGGAGGTGGTGTTTGGTTTGCAGAAATTTTGGTTGGAACACAGCATACTAGGCTCCGATTTTGAACTCACCGGTCGTAAAATAAGTAGTATGTTTCTGGTTCGAGAGTACCAGGTCACCCTTGCTGGTGATCCGTATCTTGGGTGCGAACGCCTATGAGAGCAAGATGTAGCAGTTACTACCGAACGTCAGATCAGAGGAGGTTGGCCAGTGCGCTCTCACACACACACGTCACAAACGCATGGGTGCAGAGATGACTCCATTCTCCAAAGGACGCAACAAATATAGTTATTATACCCCGGAAAATGGATGACAACGGATTAAACTATTGAATTTTGGCGTAGGCAACACGTGGACTAGGTTCTTAGTATCATGCTCAGAAATCAGCTCAGGATTAAGAATTTATTCGGTGATCTCTTTTCAGACCGAAACATTTCCATAACGCTGATTGTGTCTGGGGAAAGCGTCGAATCGGGCTGGGATTGTCTTCTAAGGTGTGTTTGAACGGTCGAAATACATGATTTAAGACGGCTACAGATGAAAAGTATAATGCACTAATGGAAACAATAATACATAAGCTTCAGTAGTCTAAAGTAAATAGTTAAGGTCACAAAGGAATAACTGAGTAGCAATGTCAGTCGGCCACGGTAGTAGTAGCAGTAGTAGTAGTAGTAGTAGTAGTAGTAGTAGTAGTAGTAGTTGTTGTTGTTGCTGTTGTTGTTGTTGTTGTGTCGGCCCTATGAATCTTTTATGTACACATAATTCCGGCTTCAGATGGTGCATGTAGATAGCCTCGGCAATAGACCAGAGTAGCTTTCGGAATCCTTGCGAGAAGCGTTCAGATAGTGACTAGATGACTTTAAAATCATTCTCATAAACAGTATGACCACATTCAAGGAGGTGCGACATGATTGAGCTGGTTGAGGACCTCATTTCGCCTTTGTAAAACCATACCGGAATGTACTCGCGAATCCTCTGGGATAGGCGTCTCGTGGTGCGACCTACGTATCGCGTCCCACAGGAGCGCGAGTGCTGATAAACGTGCGTTGAACGGGTCAACGATGGCTGTCTATCTTTCAAGGGTTTTGCAAGCAATGGCTTGTTGTGGTAAACAATTCTCAATCGGGCTGCGAAATAAGTTTTCTCAACAGTATCTTTCAGGTGTAGAGATAAGATTTCAGTTGCAGAATTACCCTTAAGTGGTAAGTGTATGGAAAGATTTTGCTTAGGAGCAATTCTACTAGGCGGCTTTAGATTTCGTTCCTTCAGATGCTTCATGAAAATCTTATCCTTTCGTGACCTTATCTGTTTACTTTAGACTACTGAAGTTTATGTTTTAATGTTTCTTTAGTGCACTTTACTTGCTAGCTGTAGCCGTCTTAAGTCATCCATTTTGACCTTTCAAACAGGTTAGAAATCATTCCCAGCCCGATTTGACGCTTTCCTTGCGGCCATCGAACAACCTCCTGTGTTGTTTAAAGGGTGGTGTCTGATTGCTGTTTATAGCAATACAAGCACTGGGACCAAAAGAATGCTCAATTGTAGCAACGATTCACATGACGTACCAACAAATCAATTTCCGATGGGGCACTGCTATTCCATCTAACTAGAGCTCTAGAGGGACGTGACACGCGGAACTAGATAAAGTCTTTACTTTCCGACCCATGTCATATCCATATAAGTTCATTGACTATCGGGTTCAAACTGCTCCTTAACTTTGTACAGTGGTTTCACGCCCCCTAACTCACTTGGCGAAGTTGAGTTCTCCTTTTCAAATGTCAACCTTTCATGCGGGACTGGTTAATAGTTGAGAATTATGTTCTGTCTCCACATTCTTATATGAGGTTAGGGTGGAAGAAGCAGGTTACACTCCTTTTTCAGTGCCTGAAATCTAGAGACGACGTCTCACGTTTCACAAGCTCGATTGGCGTAGGGCTTGAGCGACATCAGTTGTGCTTAACGATGGAAGCACAACCGTTACACTTTCGCTTGCGACTGATCGCCTCAATCCAAGTGGCTTCTCATCGTCAACGCATCGTACAACGCACTTCAGATAAAATTCGATCACCTATGTCGACCCGTAGCCTTAAGGATTACTAGTCTGTCTTGGAATAAGACGGCGCGGGTTCGAGCCTGCGTAGGGACCAGGCGACCCTCGCAGTACCTTTAGCCCACATACGACTGGTGGTGGTGGTTGCGCGGCAGCGAAGCGTCGGTACTGCGTACCGGCGTATTGCTGAGCCCTTTTATGTGGACTGCACACTGTTGACGAGTCCCGAAGTGGCCGTCTAATCCTGTTCCAGATGTGCTGTGTGGTTGTGACGGATATCTCTGGAAACACTCCACACAATTGTTGGGACGTTTATCATATATGTATTGTGATTGTCTTCTCCTTCTATTGGTCGCTTTAGCTTCTTCGCAATGGCTTCCAAGTCAGCTAGCACCTACGCGTCTGGAAAAGCATTGGAAGGCCGTTTTGTCCCATCGGAAGTCACATTAGTAGTGCGCATCCCCTGGCTCCATGTACAATCGAACAGATGGCCTTTCGACACCAAACAACGGTTTGTGCCAGTTGACCATGAGTGTGGTGGCAGCAGACCGTCATGACACACAATCAAACAACGATAGAGCGCATGTCATCCTCCGATCATTGCAGGGTGCGGAGTTGGCGCCCACAGATACGGCTTCTAGTACCAGCAGCCGTATACGACATAACCATTAGTAGTTGTTCCATGAAAAATCTCCCACTCACATGTTGTCAAAATATTCGGTTGCTAGATGCTATGTCACACACAGCTGCTGATTCGGGTAGCTCTAATGGCCAACCCTACACTCTGCAACTTTCGCAAATTACATGACAGTCCAGGATGGACCACGCTCTATCTTAGTTTGCTTATGAGCCCAGGCGGTCTGCCGCTGGTTGGTGTGTAGATGTCATGGTTTCGGTTGCTGATGAAGCCGGAGATCGCACACTTCTGACGATTCCCCACAAGAAGAAATGGTTGTCTGGCGATTTCCTCCATTAACTCTCAGCGTTTTTGATTTACATTATCGGTAAATCATTGTAACCATTCTTCCACTTGATCCGTGCTTTCTGGACTAGATCCAACTTCACAGGGCACACACGTCTGCTAGCTCCTCTGTCTGTGGTGTTTTCACCCTCCGTTTTGTCTCTTTTTCAGTCTCTCCTACCTACCTTCTTCTCTTTGGGCCAACTTGCCCCAGCAAAGGCTCTTGCGACCCGCTTGATATGGTAAGTTGTGTGCAGCACTTGACACATGTAGGTCCCGTAGGATGGTTATCTGGACCGACTTGCTTGACTACGATATTTTTGCGCTATTTTCTTGGGTGAGGTAGATCGCGCTTAAAGCGAAGTACGTGGCACCTTTAATCGAGAGCGGTAGTCCCACCAGAATTCATACAGTTGTTGCTGCGTTATGCAGGATTTCGCCCTACTTTAAACCGTTACATTGTAACTCCGGCTTGATCCAGAGTTCGCAATATCCCTAGTTGAATAAAATGCGGAACTATTTTAAGAACCGTTTCGGCACTGATCCGTGTGGCTTTCGACAAGACTCTAAAAACGGCGGTAAGCTGTCGAATCGCGAAAACCTGAAATGTTTGTTAATATTTTGCGGCCACAATGGGTAGCCAGAAGAAGATTACCTTAAGGTCAGAAGCTTTGCAACTAATTCTAGTTCTTATCCCTAACGGAATATCTCATTAAGATGCTCCTATATTTTTGGGTCCAAACTTTTGTGAACCAAGGATGTTCTGATGCACAAAATTAGCGCTTTTGGCTCGTGTACACCATTGATTCGTCGCCAAATGTGTCATCACTTCCAACAAACGTCCCCAGAGCATGGCAAGGAAACCAATGAGTCGGTATGCGAGGCATTGCGAATCGTTTCGGTGTTCGGGTAACATTTAACTGACCATTGCAACTTAATGCGCTGCATATGCATTCAGACCTGCCTCTCTCTCCACCTGCTCCGTCGCCTTTTCTCAACAGGACCTCGACATCCGTTGGCCATGGGGCATTGCGATTTGTGGCTCCCCAGACGCGCTTGAGGGTAGTGGATAACAGTCCCTGGAGTAGCATTGCACCACGCGTCGCGGACCCGAGGAAAAGAACCCCTCAAATGGTCGGACACAAAACTATCCCCACCTCCGGTTTGGACTTGGGGACTGTGTTAAATTCGGGAAGAAGGATGTTGGCCATGAAACCGGCGCTGTGCATTCGAGTGTGCAATTCAACCAACAGGGGAAGAATAGGTGAGAGTAACCTTTTCGTATAAGACATTACCCTAGTATCCGATGAATTTTCCTCTAGAACATTTTGGCTAGGTTCTGGACGATGGAAAATGTGCTACCACGAAAGCCACCGAGCGTGTAACTTCCGTATAGTAAACCCGAGTTGGGTCACATTGTTCTCTGTTCAAGAAGTTTAGTCGCTGCCTAACCCTCGTTTGGCTACTCTTCGAAGCGCGTTGGCTTCACCCAGCAGCACTTGAGCAAGGTTCGCTCGTAGGTAGCGCGCAACCAATCGGAGTGAAGCCGTGTACTCCTTGGCCGTTTTGTTTTGCGTATCTGTTGTGTGTTGTTTCCATTGCAATGCTATTGCTCACGGGACCAACTGGCCAAGGCTTTCGGCGTCAGCCACTGCATCTTCGGTCACTCCATTAGCCCCAGTATCTTCGTCTGAAGAGTCGAAAGCAGTGTTTGGGCCGACAACCTAGAAAATGACCTTGCCCGTACATGCGCTCCCCGCGCTTTTATTCCTTTATAAGTAGTATTGTATTACAAAGAAAGGGCTTCGCACAATCAAATGACTAATTATGCATTTTCTCCAGCTTAGCTTACACAAGCAGCTAAATGCACCGAAGATGTGCAATCCGGTCCCCGTTCACCTTCGTATTTCATTTCCCTGTCTCTCTCTCAGGCGATAAGGTCGTTGTGGCAGTGGGTGGGGTGAAGAAAAGAGGATGGATTGTTGGGACCAGACAGCCATCACGTGACGGATGGCCCCGTTTTGAGTCAAACAATATCGTGCTGGTGGATGACGATGGCAATCCCCTAGGCACTCGGATTCTCGTCCCCATCCCATCCCGGCTTCGAAGTCTTCCTGGTGATATTTCCAAGATATTGTCCATAGCGACTACACTTGTCTGATGAACTTGCCCGAGGTGATGGCACGCCGCTTTCACACATACGTCATTTTTTCCCAACATTTTTTCGTTCGATATTAATGAAGAAAAATTGGGAAATAAAATAATTTTATAAAAATGCACCCGTCACACGTATCGCTGTATCCGAATTTTACATGGAGGCTTGCAGGCCGCAATAATGTCTTCTACAAATTCTTTTCTGTAAAAGAAGGGGCAAAACAACATTCCATAGAATCGTGGTATTCCGTTGAGATTGCATGTACATCAGTATTTAACACCGAGTGCTTAACTGGCCTAGTTGGTTTACTGACTGTAGCGTGCATAAGTCAATGAAACGAGGTAGGGTGAATGTAATGAATCGAAGCGAGGCAGATACTAAGTAAACAATTCTCTTCTGTATCCGAAATTTTAGGTTGCTGATGACTGAGCTGTTTGAATGATCCAATGGCCACCGTGTTAAGGAACTCAAGACACGTGTCTTTAAACTGATTTTTGCCTATTCTGAAGGACGACTTGGAGTTTGTGTTTGGATGCGGCAGCTTGCATCCGTCTTTGGTTGTGGAAGTCTTAGTTCATGTTACTTGATCAACTATAATCCGAGCATCGAAGTTTGTGACTGTGCTGGAAAGATAACAAGAGAGAAACGATGCAGACGTGGGTTGTAATCGGATGCAAGGTATCTTCTTCGTAATAGAACTATCGGTAGTTGCGGATCATGGTCTGGTGCTGTTATTCCGTGTATTCTCTTCGATCACCTACATGCAACTAATAATATTTTAACGAGTCTATACCTTGCGAGGTCGATTTGTTGCGCTACGTGCTACCACCGTACCTTCAGAGCCGCTGTCAGACTCTCTCATACGCAGAGTAGCAACTGTCCTCGATCGATAATGGCGGCCTCAAGTAGCTTGAGTGTGTGGTTTTTGCTCGGGCGCGTGGACCGTTCAAAACACATGCAGTTTGGTCTGATATCTTGCACTATGATTGTCGGATGACAAAGTCAACAGCGAAAAGCAAAGTGGAATGTATAGGAACACCATATGCTTCACATCGTATCCACTTTAATGTGAATTCGACATGCTAGCTATCGTTATCATCTCAGACCGCGGACTGAACGACAACGGAATCGTCGTTTGGTGTACTCACAGTAGATCAGCAAATAGGTTCGGCCAATCCACAAGTTCCGCCGAGAATAGATAACACTTATCGGCCTACTGTCGAGCTACCTTAATGTTGGTAAACTCCAGACATCAGGTCAACCATGCTATCGTTACGTCTATGCCACTGCATGCTGGATGTGCTATGTTAAAGCCAAATACGACACGCTTTTCTAATGAGAATGCGTCTCGGTCAGCCGAGTAGCATATCATTGCTTGTGTTATGGTTGCTTTACGGCAGGCGCCACGAAATGACATCGGCAGATGGACCGTACCCAGATACCATGGGTCATCGGCCCAACACGGTCGTACTGTTGTGTTTGAACTGCATGCTGACGAGTGTACCCGGTTCGCTAACGACTGGAACCGCTGTGACATATCTGGAGCTGTGACAACTCGGCGTACGTTACGTTATCTAGGAAGTCGCATCGAAGAGAATGTGTATAACAGTCGTCTCCGATCGCAGACTGTCTTTTCAACCCTGCTCCCCTACGTTCACCACGGGATAGTAGATGAAAGTAACTGTAAAATCGATCTAACGCGCTACATCCTAATAGCAGTCAGATCCGGAAACGTTTTTGTCCCGGAGTGCTGAAGCAAAACAAGCTGTACTTGGATGCATCAAAACAAAAAGTGGCATTGTGCCCGGTTTCTCCCTCAACATGTATGACACTTGTTGGATATAGTGTTCCCTGAAGCTTCGAAGTTATGCGCTTTGGTTGCCACAAGACATAAAACTCGAAATTCCCATCGTCTGCATACATGTTCGAGCTATCAGGCTACTTGGTCACTGATTTCACAAATCCTATTTTTGCTGCACCCTGCCCCACAAATGACAACACACTACCAGTCGTTTACACAGTACGGTAGGAGCTTAACAATCCGAAACCAGTACGGAACGTAATCTATCATTGTTGCAATCGGTGGATTTGCGAGGATAATAGATAACAACATCTCAATGGAAAATACTTCCGATTGCACTTGAACACTGCTTCGGACATCACGATCTTCTCCGAGCAACTCTGGGAATCCTTTAGCCTGCCACCACTCGACGCAACCCTTCAATCTGCTACCAGCACCTGTGGTTGCTGCATGCAGCTATCTGGGCAACTGCAGTGCCCGTCTCCTTTCGACGCGTCACATTCGACGGGATCTGTTACGTCACGAAAGCGAAACTCAACCTCCTTGGTCTCGACTGACTCGATCAGCTTGGCTTGGCCGATCTACCTCTTCGGACCATCTGCAGTGCCGTATAGTCTCTGGCAGTACCAATTGATCAACCCGACAACCTCATCAGACAGTTCGACCCGGTGTTCCAGGATGGTCTTGACCGTTGTACACGCACTCGCTCCGTGTTACAGCTTGCTCCTGGAGCTCGACCGGTATTCCGTCCAAAAAGGTCTGTCCCTTAAGCAGCCTTATCATTGGTCGATGCCGAACTCAAACCATTAGAAGATATGGGTGTCCTGGTATCCGTGCTCTACTCTGTCTGGGCAGCCCCAATCGTTGTGGCCAAAAAACCGAATGGATTCCTTCACATCTGGGCCGATTTCTCAACTGGCCTCAAAGCTGATCTAGAGCCAAACTGCTACCCATTACCATCGCCAACTGACCTGTTCACGATGGAACAATAGTACTTACTTAACTAGTCCCCTGTGATAGAAATTATTGCGAAAATTAAATTGCATGATAAAGTGAAAAGCGCTTTGGTGGACTCATCATAGACTTATGTCGAATAGCGGAAATGTTCGCCTATTGAATGCATAAATCCATTGGTTGGGAGTTTGGTAAGACACCGTTTGGTTGCGTTCTGTATCCCGTTGGCTAACGAGTCATAAAAGGAAATGTAAATGAGACAATGGATCGTCAACTCGCTTTTTAAGTATCGCCAGATTGGGAGCAGAGATGAGATAATTAGAGAGGGCGTTTCAAGGCTGGCACACGCGGAGGGAAATTGAAATTTCTACGGCATTCAAGCCGGCTATACTGTATTGTCAATTTCAGAGGATGACCTCTTAGGTTAGTGTTGTGGTTCAATTCCAGCAGCGGACGGTAAATGTGGTTTTGCTTCTGGTAAACCATTATGAGATCCCCCGCAAAAGCCGATATCGACTGCTATTTCAGTCTAAGCTGATAGGGCAGATGAAAGAGGCCCCTGACGTTCTTGGTTGCCTTTCGCTAAGGAGTCTCGAGAACAACGTGATCCTGTTTCTACCACGGCTGCACGCCTGGACAGCATATTCCACGTGCAGTCACACGCAGGCGTCAAGCAGTTGGGGAACGATTGAGAGTGCAAACTGACCAAACGCTCTGCTAAGAAGGTCGAAGTGTTGATTGCCGGTTCTCGACGCTTTCTCTGCTTGTTTTGAACTTCTGACATCTTTCTGTTCCAGTACAGCTGGGTCACGCTCCTGAGAGGCTTTTTGCAAAGTGTGATCTGCAGCCTTGTAAGCGCTCACCGGCTGATGACGCAGATGGATCACCTTGCACTTAGCTATGTTCAACTGAAGCAGGTATCTCGTTGACCATTCATAAATACAATCTGTGTCATGTTTGAGTAGATCGTGCTCTTCATTGGTACTAATCGCCCGCCAAATCTTGACATCATCGGCGAAAAGCAGGATATTTGTGGAGATAACTAGCCAAGTCGTTGATAAGCAATTGGGATAAGCGCGGTCCCAGCACTGAGCCCTGTGGACCACCACATCCAACCTCAATCGGGTTGGAGAGTGATCCTCTAACACGCACTTGTAGCTACCGTTGGTGAAGAAACTTGCCAAGCCAACCAAGAACAGGATCTCCGATTCCGTAGCTCTGTAGCCGTTGAAGTAGGGTGCGGTGATCCAGACGGTCGAAAGCTCTGGAAAAGTCCAGATAGACGACGTCAACTCCGATCCCATCATCAGCCACTTCCGTCTAACTACCTCGTGCAATCAGCTGGTTGGTGGAGCATGACCGGTGTTGCCGGAAGCCATGTTGCTCCGATGCCAAGATATTGCATTTTCCAGGTAGCCCATTAGAGCCTCAGCGACGACCGTTTCCAACAACGTTGCGAGCCCATGAAGGAGAGTCACTTGGCGATAGTTTACAGGCTGTGAACGGCTACCGCCTTTAAAAATTAGGGTGATAATGCCAAGCTTCCACATGGTGGGGAATTGCTGTTCATCGAAGGACTTTTGGAAGAACTGTGACAGTGGTTCAGCTAGCTTGGTGGCCGCAGCCTTCAGTGCTTTTGGGCGGATGTTGTCGGCTTCCGGACAGTAATTTCCTTAGCACAGTTGGTGGGTTGAAAATTACATCTGTAAACAATGGAATCAGTAATTTGCATGACATTATTTAACTGGTAGAGGTTGTCAGTCCGAAAATTGGGGCGTATTGTAGCCGCAGGGCGTTAGCTGCTTTTTCGGCGCTTTGTACTCTATCGTCTGTCGTGAGAACTGGAGGGATGCCGTGCTTCACTTTACGAAGATTGTTGACATGCCTATACAACAGGTTGTTGTTTGCCAGGAATTTTTCTGGTTAGTCACTGTTGGCAAGTTACTTTGTCCTCACGGACAAGTGCAGTGCAGTGGTTGCGATGCATCAAGAAATTTCCCCAAGTCTGAGTCGGGGTTAACCTTGTAGACACGCCGTGCTGCATCCCGTATTCCCATGCATTTTCGAGTCCAGCTCCTTAGAATTGAAGGCACTTTTGCAGGACGAAAAGGCTCGATCGCTGATGCTCTGTTGACGGTGTCACTGAGTCTTTCAGCGAACTCTGTCCAAACATTGTTAAGGGGACTGCTGTTTAAGAA